TCGCGCCTGCGTCACGTCAAACCATTGTGCGATATCCCAGATGCCACTGAAGTTCTTTGACATTGCATACGGAGACGAACTAAACCTAATCAATACAAAAGTTCATCGATATAAAAGCTAATTGATATATTTTTAAAGTGATCGGCGCCGTAGTTCAAAGCAAAATTAATGTGTGATTTTAACGAATCAAAAATAATTAAAATTCGTACACAGGTAAGCACGTTTGTAACTTAAGTTCTATTTAAAGTAAAATAACTATTTCCGCTTCAATAAACGTCGAAATTAATTGATGTACGTAAGTACTTTTGTAGAACACGGTTGAGGAAAAACAGTGTCAAGATCCGTTTTGCTACGGCCTCTTCGAAAGCTGCAGACGCACTAACATCATTAGTTGCAACGCAACAATGAGACGGACGGCACGTCCACAGCCCGCCGCGGGAAAACTCCGATCAAATTAGAGCTGCGCGTGAAGTAATTGCATTAGATTTTTTTCGACGTACGTATAATATAATAAGTCCACAGAGGTTTTGTACAGTCACCACGTTTAATCTGAATTTAATTTTACGTTCCTTTCAAGTTTCATGGCGCACGACCGCGAGACGATCGTGCGGCGTTCGATCAATAGAATTCGTGATAGCAGCCACGTGACATGCCCACCAATTTTGAGGCACACGTCCACTTTTCGTAGACGTAGATTAGATAGCATTAACTCTTCTTCAGACTTGAATAACAGCAAATAAATTCTTCAATATTCGATCGGGGTTTCCCGATATTGATTCGTTGAAGTTGATGACAGGAAAATTACAACAATCGCGAATAAAGTACGGTAGCGTTTCCGCAGAGTCTAGAGAAATGTTATTAGTTGCGTAGGTTTGCGCAATTTGTTTTGTGTAATGCTGGTTCAGTGGATACGGGGAAGTAGTGTGCGGCCGCCTCGACCTCCGCGAACGCAATAATTGAGCATAGAAATCAAATTATAGATGATTGATGATGCCGTTACGGCACGACCGAAGCCGCAATGACGCCCGCAGAGCGGATCGTGTCATTTGCGTAATAGGAATTCGACAAAATACTAGACGAAAATGTGAGAGGAGACATTTATCAATAACTGGATCAACCTAATTTACGTACATGATCATTTCACTATTTATTGCATCGTTATTTCGTGCCTATGTTAATGTCGTCAATATGGGAACACGCCAAGGGCATGGGTACCATTAATCTTCTCAACGTTGGATGTTGAATAATCTCAGTCGGTATTAGACAAGTATTATTCACGTCAGTTTTAATGGATATGAGTTTGCGCATCTCTAAATGAATCAGTCGCAAGATTTTATCTATCCTTCCTAAATGGAATCGTTGCGAATCCATCTTTTCAATCTGAGAAGGACATCTGCAACTTTATGAGTGAGCCATAAAAAACCATTAGTGGCAATAAATGCCAGACTAGCTCACGCATGTGATGCTTTACATCGCTTAAAATATAGCGGCAGGGACTTACTGCCGGTTGCGGGGATAAAAATCCTCCATCAACCATCTCGAAACGAGTCTTAAGTATTTTACTTGAAACATGAGTGTTTACATTTAAATATTGCATCGCATTAATGTGTAATTTGAATGTAACAATCTTAGGCGATTCAGTAAATCTGGCAACCTTATTGCCGACTGTTACTGCAAGCAGGCCGCAATTGACATGCCGCACGGCGCCCTTCCGCTGCACACAATTAAATTGGCGTGACGATTGGAATGTGACAAGCGCTCTAACAGGCCCGACCAATCGGGAAGGTATTTATCAATGGCAATCGCCCAGCACTAACTTTCCAACGAACTTTACCACACTACAAATTCTTCCTAACCGATAGTAAATAGACCAAGCAATAAAACTTCTAAGAATTGCCATTAAAACAACCAAGGGAAACCATTTCCCGCTCAAACTCATTAGCGCTCAGCACATTAAACTTTCCCATTATTATTTTTATCTTATTTTAAGATTCTCCATTTTAATATAAAGATTTATCTACACTTCTAATGGCAATTTTAAAAAGAAGAGCCTTTTATTAATTATTTTTAATTTCACTACGAGGATTCAACATACATTATCAGATTTCCATTAAGCTCTGTTACGGGCCACGTTCATTCAATTAGCTCATACTATCATACGTCAGGTTTCATGTTTTTCTTTGAATATGGCAACGATCCGCTTTGAGAGTTACGCAAATAGAGGGGCTATCCCAAGTTTATTTACTCAACTATTGCAGATACTATCGAAAATAAAAGAAACCGCGGAGCCCAACGAGCGCAGCGAAACTGGTGCCCTGCGGCGTGCAAGTCTCCTCTATTATACGCATTTATTGCTTTATTTCATTTAGAGTGAAATGTGCTTTCGACTAACTTATTGGCGGTACTCGGGATTGTAGAACAAGAGCACCCTTGGGTGCCGAGACGGGCGGCGTCCATCATGCGGGCCCTAACAAATAGCAGGGCTCCGCGACGGCTCAATAAACATTACGATGCGAGTACACGCCGATATAGCATTCTAATATGACTCTATTAAGCACACACACGTACAATGTTGCTGCAATTAAATCACTTAACCGAAGCATTTATACTACGTGACAATAAAAGCAAAACAAAACACTTTATTGAAGCGCATAAATAAAACGCACAAAGAGACACGCAGCTCGATGGCTCACAATATAGAATTATTATGACAGTACGAAACGTACACACATCTTAATACCGTAAGTAATGGTTTGTTTAAAATCGTATATTAGTAAATTCCAGCTTCAAAGCAGATAATATAGAAGATGGCGTTTACTCTAATAGCGTTAAGTAGGTACACAAATTACGCATTCACGGTAAGGTATGGGGCAGCAGAGTTATGGTGTATGGGAGATAAGTGGAACCGGTTGGTTCAAGCGCTCGGGAACAGGTGCCAATGCGGCCGGCCCTACATGGATGTGACAGGACACAAACCAGTATTAGGCAAAATTTACGAACCACCTCATGAGTACACAGACGATAAAATAAATTTTAATGGCACAAATCGATGCTATCAAGCAGATGAATCGGTCAGCACCAGCGCCAGATAAATTGAATACAAGCGCGAGTGCTTTACGTAAACTTATTTGTAACGAACACCATGCCGGGTGTGGATATTAAAGGCAAACAAGAAACTTCTATTGCTCCTATTTATCTTTTAAGTTATGATAGTACTTTATAAACGCAGCGTAGCTGTGCTTTATTTCAAGCAAGTTACTGTTCATACAGTATCACATCCTAGTACGTAATTGTTTTCAGTTATTATTTTATGTTTTGATTTAGATTGTTTTGAGATAGGTAGTTCATAACTAGAAATGTATTAGTAATGCAAAGGCTATTTCAAATATGGACATAGGTAAAGAGTTTATTTCTATTATTTACTTATATGTCTGGGCCAAGTCAATTTATACTTTTATTAAAAAGCTAGATATCGATTAAAGCTAATTTATCTATCAGAATACATTTTAAAGCTACTATTAACTTCAAACGGGATTATATTTGGATGTTGTCTGCTGAACTAGTAATAACGTTTGTTCTATAAAACGCCACCGTCATCGTCGACAATTACTCAATAATTGAAGAGTGTCATTAAAAACCAAAGAAATACGGAACATAACTACATACGAAAGACAAGTAATATAAAAAACAAAACGAACGTAAGATGAAGTAATGAAAATAATAACAGCCATGACTTAATAAAACCTATCACATGAGGAGGCACATTTAGTAAAAGAAACAGCCATAAAGAACGCGTGCAGCCGTTCAGTTTAAGAGTATCATTATGTTATAAAATAAATGGTAATAAAAAATGTTTGAGCCCCCTCAAAAGTAATCAAAGGCGAGGTAAAATAAATGTAATTGCAGAAAACACCACAAAGGATGATGTGGGCAGAAATAGAAACAAATTGCGATGTCGCACCCGATAATACAGCGAGCGACCGCAAGGTGCGCGAGCGCTTGACAGGACAATCGTGTTGTGATCCTAGGTAATAACCACTATATTGTGCGAGATTAAATTACAGAACAATTGCGAAGGTAGCCCGCCAGTGCACATTAAGGGCCGGCAAAGAAAGCCAAAGCAGACGCGGATGCAACGGCTGCACCGAAAACCTACTTCCGCTTGCTGCACCGACCCATGTTGCCGTGAACAATGCCTTAAATTATAGGATTTAGAGAGCAGTCCCTCATTCAGTTAGCATGATTAATCGTAGAGAAAACTGGTCGGGATTATACGTTAGTAATTTGAGATCGCACGTTTTACGCCGTACCAATCATTAGTAGAGTCATTCTGGACACGATCGAGCTATTTTTTCAAACGAATTTCAGTTAGAACATTGTGTAGACACTGCGATGTTTTCAAATTACACATATTATACTTTTGATTCGCATGAGCCTCATAGCGCTTTTGTATTGCACGTTCGTGATGTTGTTTAGCGCGGCCGACCACAATACATTGTTACAGACGACTTTACCGACTTTTTGTTACTCTATAAGCTTAATTCTTCAGGAATTTAATGCTTTATTATTACTAAGTAAGCCGCAATGCTATCAAGATCAATTTTTGAGTTTAAATTAGTTGTATGTAGCCAACGAGAAAAATGAAATATTTATTCTTCAGGAATTTCCATTTTCTACCTTTTTTGCTTTTATTGTATAACTGCAATCATGAACTTGCGAAACTAAAACATTTCGTGTAGTAAATGTATTTCCCTTGAATTTTAAAAATCAACGTCAATAAACGCACGTACAGTGTAGAGAATAAACACACAACTGTGTTGTAAGCGACTATCATTTGCATAAGTTGATTGATGATATACTAACCAGCTTTCGCGAGCGACACCGAGTGACAGTAAAAGGCTTTCAATTCAGACAGTAAGACAGATTACGGACGTTTGTTTGTTGGTTTCTGGTGTCTTAATTGAACAATTTAGAATTAATCTTACGACCTGGTCACGTAGGCGGCTTCGCGGCAATCGCTGTGGGTCGAAGACGGTTCTGATCGGGATCAGAGAAATCGAGATCCCCTCGTTAATGTAAATCACGAAGGGGCAGTATCGCTGCCGTCGCATCAACCCACTAACCTCCCTCGAGGAGACTAAGCGAAACTAACCAATATCTAATTTACCCACCTTCCCGCGATTACTGTTTACAAGTGTTCACATACATGCAACAAATAATCGCATGTATGGACGACATCACGCAAAACTAAACACGGCTGCATCTTATGTTACTTGAATAGATGCGTTTTTCCTTCAAACATGTACAGTCTCACGTGCTGGCAATTGTACCATTATGTTAGCTCACTCGCATAAATATTTCGCGGAACACTTAATTGTGATAATAAGAATTACTCAACTGACTATAAACTTGGCCTGTAAGTAAGTACGCAATTATGTACATTAGAGAGTTACCCATGCGGAGACGAGCTAATCTCGGAAGTATTATACGAATACAAGCTAGATGAACGTTGGAACAAAAACATTTTAAAGCTTCAGAAAGCAACGAGATAGTAATAACAGTTATTTTTAGAACTCTCCCCATTTCCATTTGCAGTAACCATGAAACACATTAAAAGCTACGGTCGTAATGCAATGTCATATTCAATGTTCACATTACACGTATTAATGGCGTAATAAACTGCAATAATTTGCCGGCTTAGTATTTATGTTATTAGAATCCATGAGTTTTCCAAATGACAAAAAAGATTTAAACGATGTTTCTGCTGGGGAATGCTGTCAGGTGATCAATGATAATAATTTTATTCGAAGCGCTTCTAGTTGGGAGAGTGAATAATGTATTCTTAGTTACAAGATGAGATTAAGTATCACTGAGCGATAGATTTTCTTGGTGGATTTATGTGGTATTTTTCTAAAGGCTCGGTGCACACAATGAGAGACATTGACGGCTGCTGTCGGACGCCTTGTAAGGGCGGGGTTGCACTGTGCCGGTGCTTTGTCAGTACATAAGGATACCGCCGAGCTATTAGAGAACGACATAACAAATTACAATTTCATTCAATGTAAATCCGCGAAGCACTCTCACGATGCTAATGGCTGGTCATAGACACGCCCGATAGTTTACGGGCCAGTAGATTGAGACTTAAAGAATATCGATTGTTATCTGACAGGCATCAATATCTGCAACAAGGCGGTGCCAGTGATGTATAAAAATAACTTGTATAATCAACTTTTATGGTGATCTGCCGCTGTAAAATAATGACGAGGCAATAAATCTGAAAATTTCCAACGTAATTTCACGAAACTATAACTTTATGAGAGTAGGTACTAATTATTTTCCTTTTATTATATTACCGCGCTAAAACGAATCCTAAATTATAAATTTTATATTTTCTTATTACTTTTATGTGTCTGTAGAATATAATATGTGCTGAATATAAAAAAGTAGTAACGCAGCTGTGTGTCAGAGGATAAAAGCACAAAAAGTGTTCACAGCATAAAGTAATATTCATTCATGGTGCTCATACTTTTAAATAGCATATCTAAGTTATATTTTTTCCAGTTGCAATCTAAAAGATGATTTACTTATACACATATTTTATTAGAGTAGAACATACGTTGCCCACTTACATAGGTATAATTTAGTACAACAATGTAGGTAAAATACTCGCGCGCATAAATGTGACGTTTGGCTCAAGATCAAATACTTCAAACTGTGAGATAACGACCGGTCTTCATGCAGATTGAGTCATAAAACTAATGCCTGCTACGAAACGGAGGCGTTGCACTAAACAACTATTACAAACGTGTTAACTCGATAATAAATAGGTAATTTGACTAAACATCTATTATTGTAATATAGGGTGGCCCAGAAGAAAATTCACTTTTGAAAATTTAAGGAAACGAAAACTGTACATTTTTGTAGAACTTTAATTAATGCAATTTAAAGGAAATTTCATGCAATTTATTTTTAAATTTACTTTCTTTTTTAAATTTGATCGTACATGTGATTCCCTTGACATTTACAACATTCAGTCAACATGCATAAAAATCTTGGAAAACTTTCGTTAGAGTTACCTCGAAATGGATTCAGGATGGATGAATGCTGCAGAGTTTTTGGATTATTAGAGTATACACTGCTCATAACGTACCCCACAAAAAGAAGTCTGCTGGAATGAGATAAGGGCTTCTTAGTTAGTTCTTAGGAGATTTCACACCTGCTTAATTGGTTTGTTGCATCGAAAGGATGATTAATTTTTGAGAGCGCTATACTGGCATGCTGAAAGGCTTCTTGATTTCAAAGTTGCAAGATTCGCAAGGCCATGACAGGAGCACTTGGTTTCATCAAGATGGGGCTACGTGTCACACTTCAAATGAGAGCATTTGGATGGTAAGAGACATGTTCCCACAAAAAATAATTTCAGGCAGGGGTGACATCTCCTGGCCACCAGGAAGTCCTGATCTCACTCCAGAAAACTCTTTTTTTGTGGTGTTACCTTAAGAATAGAGTATACTTTTATAATCCAACAACCATGCAGCAACTGAAGCTGAATATTCGGCAAAAAATGGAAAATAAGTTTCGAGGTAATTCTAACGAACGCATTTCAAGATTTTGATTCATGTTGATCGAATATTGTAAGCGTCAAGGAAATCTCCTGGACGATGTAATTTAATAAAGGTAAATTTAATAACANTTTGATGTGCGCGTTCACGCTTTTGTTCGATCAATTTTTTTTTTATAAATATCCTTGGACATTTTACATTTTCTTTGAATTGTAATGAATAAAGTTCTACAAAATTACACAGATTTTTTTTCCTTGAATTTTCAAAAGTGAATTTCTTTCTGGGCCACCCTGTATATCCGTTAAGCATAATATCTAATGGAGTGAAAGAGCGCAGTGCCACAACGTCATGCTTATAGCTTTTTCCCAAAGTTCTAAACCAACCCATACAAAGCACAGAAAGTATCCGTATCCCATTGAAACGCGGCCTATTATATCGTAATAAGATTAATACCATATTTTGAGGTCTAAAGCGTCGTGTGCAAGAAAAGGCATCCATAGTGTGCCAACAGGTACGGGTATGGTGAAACGTAAATAGCAGGTTGGAGGCATCCGGCTCATTGAATGCGCTGACCCCATCTGATCGGGGCGCTGAGACCACTCGCCACACGGCGCATCCACACGTATCGCTAACATTATTCCCTTTAATCGCCAACATTGTCCATTACGAAACAACTGAATTTGCTTCCCATTGATACTACACCTTATTCAGTCTTTATTTAACCGACGAGCGCGCAATGACACCACTGACCTTAATATCAAAGTTAATGCTTTCCACGGCCCATTGTCACTACACTACTTGTTCTTTTAACATCCATCAACGTCGCTATCACGATGATTGATCTTTCAATGTCTGTATTAATAAACGCTACCCATCATGTTCATTAGCAACATTTTGTTGAATTAAAAATCTTTTTTTCATTAATGTACACAAGCATTGTCTAGAAATACCGGAGCCGTTTCAACTTTTCTTTTGCCGTCTGCGACTTACAATGCGGCCTTGCACACAGATATACTAACAAAGGAAAACACAAACAAAAATATGTACCTACAAGCAATTCTACCACGCCGAGTATTGTGTTAATTTATTTTATGTCTAGTCTCGAAAAAAACTAGACATCCCTGAGCACAAACTGCGATATTTTAAAAGGTCTCAAGAATTCCATAGCATCGTTGAAACAATCATCATAGTTAACGAACAAATTAAAAGTACTTTTGATGTCAAGTGAAAATGAAATACTCGGGCAAACGAGGCTAACAACCGGTTACTATAAATAGATGCAAAATTAATATTAACTAGATATAAGAATACTTGATTTTACTATCGCTTAGGGCTTTATATGTATGAACTTGCGGGTCTGTTAACCTAAAAGGAAAGAGATGATTATATTCAAAGATCTATTAATCGAAATAGGGTGCGCATGCGTGTTCTAAGTTGTCTATCGTTTCAGAATACAGAGCATTCGATTGAATTTATGAATATTGATTTGCAGGACTATTTTTAGAACGTATCTGTACGGGCACTATTGAAAGGAAATTAGCCTTTCTAGAGGTCAATAGAAAATTTCCACGCGACTGGTTTACGACATCCTCGGTCTCATGGTAGAGGCTGATGGCCTACTTAGGAGTACTGTTTAGTGATCCTATAGCGCACGACCTCTGAACAAGTTAACATGTTATGGAGATGAGATAACATGGATTCTTATATCGACTGATATGGCTTGTACACGCAAGGGCTAGAAAATTGCTCTTCGCTGTTGGCGTAATCGCTTTGTTCTCACACTGATGCGCTGACCCATCAGACTGTTTTCAGTCAAATTATATCGCATATCAGTATTTATGAAACCGCAATTTATTTGAGTATATTTGATTGTATATCGATATGAGTTTGTTATTTCCTTTTACTTTGATGAGTTTCTCGTTGCAACCGTAGGTTCGTTATAATAATTAACTTTTACGGAACCTACGTATTTTGTAGAAGCAAGTTAATTGAACGAAGAAGCAAATAACACATTTCCATCTAAACATAACTCTCATGGCTTATATCACCCATACAGTATATCAACACTAGACTATAATTATCTAGTTTTATTTGAATTAGTCTAGTCTAGATAGTCTAGACACAAACGATATGAATTATAAATCTAATAAATGCAAAAATCATTTTATCACAGACTCTAGTTAGCATTTATCGTTATTGGTATTTCCACGTTGGTATAAACATATTCCTTCAACAAAAATACAAACATAAATGCGGTTCGCTAGACTGAAATTCTCAGAATCTTGAGGCATATTCCAGCGTATGGATAGTTTGTTTGATAAGTGAAATCAATAAACCGGTTTGAATCGTAATGCATTCGCATATCTTGTGCTTATTGACATTTTAAAATAGGTTACATCGGGAGAATGCGGTCGATCAGTATCTGATCAAATGCATTCAATGCCATAGGAGAGCCGATTGAGATCGTAACATATGACCAGGTTTACTGCTAGACCGGTGTAGGTCAGAGCCGGCCGTAGGGCACACCCTGCCCCGGTAAGGTCGACCATGCTCGGAACTCCTGTTATTTCACGCCATTGACGTCGAAGTCAGGCCCTATTTATTAATACTTTGCAGCGTGAACCCTGCCTGGGAGGAGTATGACAAATACAACGTTTCGCCTCCGTTCCCGTGTAATGTTTATTCTAGAAAACTGTTAGACGCCGCGCACGAGATCATTTATAACGCGGTTACATCAGATCGCGGGGTTATTTGGACAATTTTACAACTACGTTACCGTGAGGAAGCAGCTACAGTGAGTTATGCTCTAATAAATTTCACTAAAGTCAAGATTGCAGCGGAAAACCTAAGTTATCGGCTCACATATAAAAGGAATAAAATTTACGGAAGATCTATTTATAGAATATTTCTTGTGCTCGGCAGCATGTGCTGGTATGCTGGATTATTCTTCAAGAAAAAAGTTGGAACCGGTATCTGTGACATAGGGCAGACGTTTATGAGCGCATAATTTAATTTTCATGATAGACATGCAGATCAAATTACTATCGCGCCTAAAGCGACGCGACGCCTGCAACGAATAAGGTCTCACCGGGCTATATCATTCAGGCGTGCGAATGCATTGCTATGCGTTAGCCCCTGTTTGTGGGGCTGTAATAACATAAATAATTACAACATCTCTTGTAAATTCAATCAACAGTAAAGATCAAACAGCCGTTAATATAACTAGACGCCTTAACGATATTATTGCCCGTGGCCAATGTGGTTAAGTAAGCAATGCTTAATTTACAAACTGTTAAATGGTTCTAAATCAATTTAGATATTGCAGCTGTTTAAGCGATAATATTAACGGTGTTATTAACTCACACTGCACATAACAATGAATTTATACGTATACTATATCAAGATACATTATTGAAAACCTTTAAGATGTACGTTTTGTACAAATAATCAAAGTCGATAACATTTTAATTGATAATATTAAATCTGTACATAGACAACTAATATCTTTCATTATTTAACAATCGATACGATTTGAACATAATTCTATCTAATACATAACAGAAACTTGCAACTTATGTTAAGTTACATAAAACCAAGTGACAGCAATGATTGTTAACAATATGTAATTTGTTGTAATGCTTGGGTCGTAACCAATATTTTTTTTACAATGAATTCGGAATAGTGGTACCGTTGACCACGAAGTGGTCACCAGAGGCAGACCGTTACGAACATTGGGCGTGAGACGTGAGCGTGACGTGCTGCCTGCCGCCGATTCTAATTTTGACTAAAAACCTGTCATTTTACATTGAATTCGAAAAAAGAAACACAGATAAATTTAACACAAAAATTCATTTTTCAACATTCCTAATTCAAAGCGGGCAAAAAGGCAACAATAGGCGCTTGAAAATAGAGCAAGAAACATACAATCTGGGTAGGAGGAGTATTTGAACAGCACCAAGATTTTCCTCGTGAATTTTCAAACAATCCAATGTGAATACATGGTGCAGATTTTTCTCACGATTCATTCCTTGTGTGAGTTTTTCAGAAAATAGTATCTCGGTATGATTACGTAATGATACGGTTAATACGAGCTTCTGTAGTGAACTACAGGTCATATACTACAGTTCACTAGCAAGTTAATTACAATTTGTAGCAATTATTCAGTTAATGCCCTTAGATAGAGATCGTAATTGTTTATTCTCACACATTCATCAGACGATCACGTATGCCTGGAAGATAATTATTTTATGAGTGTTAAGAACGTAGTGCTAAATTCGCAAAGTAAACAGGGAACAATATAGGCACTGTACTTGCTGACTCGGTTCTCAATTTAGTGGGTATCACGGATAAAGACTGACACGGAAATTTTATACTACCTATCATCGCCACCCATCTATTGCGGTAAACGACGCTTGATATTGGCCATAAGATATCGGAAGATTTTATTAAATTCACGATGAATGCTCGCGTGCATAAAGCTGAGTCGTTATACACGATAATTTCTGAACTTCCCATGCAATTATGGTAGGGATATTAAAGCGTCGTAAGCTTTTTTTAATCAACACGTCTTTTGTTACAGATAACAAATGTTGCCACGGCCTCTCAGCAAGAGTACAATGCGGCTTTTAATCGGTTTAGTGTTAGTGGCGTACGCCGCGGAAGCTGCTAAAAAGTTTGAGGGTACGCTCAGATCAGCGGCAGAGGCGCCGCCGCAAGACAACCTGGCCGTGGAGTCTGGGTCGCCGGAGCCCGCGGTGGTGTCGGCTCCGCAGGAGTACAAGAACCCGGGAGCCCCTCCACCCCCGAAAACAACAGACGAGGCTCCAGATGAGATAGACGACTCAGTCCCTGAGACCGCGTCTGGTGGAGTTCCACCATCGGCGCCCAGCGGAGCCTCGGCACCTTCAGCGCCTGCCAACTCGCTCGAGGAATGCGACCCGGAGATGATTGGATTTGAACTCGTGACCGGGTAAGTTTTCAATTACATCCTTATGCACTTTTAATGTCGAAGAACACTTGCGGAGTACTGACCGGTAATTGCGCGGGTAATTAAGACTGCTAAGTCGACGCAACGGTACGAGGAGTGAAGTTATCAAGATCCCACTTTTCTCATGAGATATTTATCATGAAAGTAGCTTGACCATTTCTGTAAAAACATCTTAGTTAGAATCTTTTATCGGGTATGAATAAAATCTTTATAATTTAATGAAAATCAGTTCTAAGACGTTCGTAATATGAAAGTAAATCTTTAACAGGCGTGAAGTCACGGTTATTAAAATACCACTTGATGAGGACGCAAAAAAGGCAAATAAATTGTTAATCTTGACAAAGACATCAACGAGTCAGTGTTTAAGCGATCCCAATAAATCCAAAGATAAGAATATATCTCATTTCACGCTCAAACCAGCTCTACATATTGCGCGCGCGCAAAGCGCCGTCAATTAACGGCGGTCGCGGCTGGCATTGCGCAGGTCGCATATCATGTTAACAGTGTGGCGTGTCATGTGCAGGTACGTTTTCTCGGCGCCGTCGCACATACTCGACGACATCCCCGGCACTCTGATGTTGACCGACTGCCTGGAGCAGTGCCAGGCCAACGACACCTGTCGCGCCGTCAACTACGAGACGGGACTCTGCGTGCTATTCGGCTCCGACGCGGACCAGTTGCCGGGTGAGTGACAATCATGACTGACGACACATCAACCGCGATATGATTGATCAATACTATCTTCCTCAGTACCTATCTACGTGTTTGCATATGAATTCATCTGTGCGTGGAGCTTGACAAGACTATGTGTATTGAATTGTCATAACAAAATGCGCAGACGACTGCAACGTTGTTCATTATGCAGTCAGATCCAAGGTCTTGAATTATTTATTGCGCAAAAACGAAAAATAGAACAGTAAACTTTTTTATCATTATTACTTTGTGACAAATGATTCATACAATGTAAACAAAAATAAAATGTATCGTCAAACTGCTTTTTGCTCATTAAATATTAATAAGCTGATGATCGTAATCAGATCGAAGTCACAAATATTAATGTAAATGGTATCGATGACATACACGGCTAGTATCGGTAACAAGTAAAAAAGTTACATTATCGAATTTCATTTGTAAAAAATGTGACAAGTATATTCCTTTGTGGATTAATGTAGAGGCAGATAATTGATAGAGAAGCTTTGCATGTGCGAGGGGACAAAAAAGGAGTTGGTCGTGATCGAAGACTTTAAAGAGTGTGATAAGACACAATGGGCCGTTTATAACGTCATTTCTGTTGACGTGTCATTTTGAAACAGAGCTTTATTTTTTTTTTACATTTTATAAACTAGCTTGTTCGTAACATTTTTAACTTAAACTTTTTCCATTTGAGTAAGCTTTACTTATTTTTGAGTTAGCACACGTACAGTTTTTATCTTATAATGATAAAATAAATGTAAAACATGCGATCTGAAGTCAATTAAATTATTTAACACTCGCTAGCATCTGTAGAAATACACGCTTCGTAAATCTATAAAACGGTATTGCGAGTGCATCCGCACACACAATGTTCGCGATCGCGAGTGATATAAAACCTATTTGGATATTGTGACAGTGAAAAATCATACGGCTTTCTTTTGTTTTACTCTCTGTCGGTTGGATTCGATCAGTACACAAGTCTGTTGAAATTATTTCGCATTTTTACTTTAAAATATACCTGATTCCCTTCATGGTCCTGGATCGAGCCGGATAACTATTGCAATCGAGGAAGTTACGGAAAGCGCAGTTATTGGCACTGGGGATTGCGCGTCGTCAAAGAGTGGTCGAGGTTCAAAGTTCAAGTTCAACGGTTTGAACGTGTGAGCGAAATGGTATAAAAAGTGATTAATTTTAGGACCCAGCACTCTACTAAGGTATATTTTATGTGTAATTGTAAGGATATATAAGGTTAGTAAGCATTAATGTTTATTTTATGCAAAATTTGTGAAATAATGACTGTGTAACTGATTTACCTACCCGTTGCAATTTAGCAGTGTAGATACATTTGGCATTCTGTTAAACTAGTTAAACTGTGTTAATAAGTTCGCAATTAAGTGCCGAATAATTTATCTAGTATTTGTTTAAGCCAAATTATCATTATTTTCACACTCAGTGTAACGGTTGTGATTTTTGTAGGTAATTAATCCACCTTATTATTCAGTGTAACAATAGTCTCATTTAGGCATAATTATTAAGAGTACTAAGTACATTCTAAACGTTTTAAATGTATAAATTCCAGGATGACTAGTGAAATAAGGATTTGCCTAGCAAAAGCCCACTGATTAAGTTCAACGTTTATTTAGATAGTAATAATTTAATTCGCGTTGGTGGTCGTTTATCTAATTCAGAATTTTCATTTGAAAAGAAACATCCTATTATTATACAGTCCACTCATTTAGTAACTAAATTAATTTTCGAATCTGAACATAAAAAAATGATGCATGCCGGCCCTCAACTGCTGTTGGCTACCATTAGGGAAACTTACTGGCCGATAGGCGGCCGCAACTTAGCAAGAAAATGTTATCGTCAATGCGTACGTTGTAATCGCATGAAGGGTAAGACTTTTAACCCATTAATGGGAAATTTGCCGCAGCAGCGACTTCAACCAGGTGGATACCCATTTGATAGTGTAGGCGTTGACTATGCAGGCCCTATGGCTGTCGCTAATCGCACAGGCCGTGGCTGTAGACTCACTAAATCGTACATTGCAATTTTTGTATGTTTCACGACCAAAGCGGTACACCTTGAGTTAGTGGGTGATTTAACAAGTAATAATTACCTTCTCGCGCTGCGCAGATTCATCTCACGCAGAGGAAGACCCTCTCACATATTTTCAGATAACGGTACCTCATTCGTAGGAGCGGTTAACGAGATTTCGAAATTCTTGAAAGGCAATTGTGATTCATTGGCTTCGGACATAGCGCAGGAAAGTATTAGTTTTCATTTCATACCTGCGTATAGTCCTAATTTTGGAGGTCTCTGGGAGGCTGGCGTTAAGTCAGTTAAATTTCATTTGAATAGAGTGCTGGGAAATTGTAATCTTACGTTCGAAGAGCTCACTACCACTTTGGTGCAAATCGAGGCGATACTTAACTCTCGGCCACTCTCTCCGTTGTCATCGGACCCCGCAGACCTGACGCCACTCACGCCCGGCCACTTCCTCATCGGCCGCCCTCTCACCGCCCTGCCGAACTCCAGCTACGCAGACTGCCCCATCAGCAGGTTAACACGATTTCAACGCATTGAGCAATTACGCCAACACTTTTGGACGAGATGGAGCAAAGAGTACATTGCAGAACTTCAGCAAAGAGCCAAATGGCATTCATGCAAGTACTCCCTAGAAGTCGACACGCTTGTCCTACTGAAAGAAGATGGACTTCCACCTCTAAAATGGAAACTTGGGCGCATTGTCAAAGTCTTTCCTGGTGCCAGTGATGGGATCTGTCGAGTTGCTGACATACAGACTGCAAACGGCATCGTACGGCGTAGCTTCAGCAAGATTGTTCCGTTGCTCCCAGAAGAAGACGTTTCGGTTGAAGGACGAGCCTTCAACGCGCGGGGGCATGTTCGCGATCGCGAGTGATACCCTATATAAAAATTGTGACATTGACAGTGGTGCCAACCGTCGTACACCCTAGATTTTTAAGTTTCTCTCTCTGCCTTGTGGAACCGATCAGTACACACGTCTGTTGAAATTATTTCGCATTTTTACTTCCAAAATATACCTGGCCCCCCTTCACAAGGCAATGGGTGGGAATCAAAACGCCAAGCACTCCGTTTAGCGTCGTCTTGGGCCTGCTTTACTTTACTTTATTGTTCTCTGGCTTGACCTTTGTGGTGTGTGGCTATAAATCACTTTCTTCAATCAAAATCAGGAATCAAAATGGTGAAATCCAACTCCAAAGATGAAATCACGTTTTTATTGCGTGGCAGCACGCGGTCTTCAACATAGAGAAAAGTAATACATAGGAAATAGAGAGCCCTCTCTGTCAAATTTTTGAACCTACTAATTGACAGCCTGGTGTTAAATTCCCTGTACTTAACCTACGTACGTAACGCTCACACACATACATACATAGTACACGCACACATACATACATAAAGTCCACGCACACATANAATATACCTGATTCCCTTCAAATACAATTAATTTTAAATTTGAAAACTGAAAGCTTACGTAACACTTAAAAAAACTGGTAACACCCAATACCGGAACGAATAGTACCGCGCAAAAAGCGGAAGATGAAAGCCAGCCTGATTTTTCTTTGGCGAAAAAATTAGACGAAGCCTACTCCCACAGGAAATACTCCTGTTACGTGACAAATACGATCTGAGTGACCCATAAAAATGTACCGCGTTTGATGTATGGCGGCCGGAATATTGGGCGACGTAAATTACTGGCGGAAATAGATAAAAGTTTGCTTCTTGTCTACAAATGTGAGGGAAATGAAGAATTATTTCAAGCACGAGTGAGTAGAATTAACAAATGTTAGAAAGTTGTGGCTAAAGCTATTGACTGACTAACTGACCCGGCGAACTTTGTACAAATATAATTTATCAAAAATAAAAGCAATAATGTAAAATTCTAATGGTGTAAAAAAATTTCTGACCCTAGTGGTTTCTAAGCCTATTTACACAAAACAAACGTACAATAAAACAATTCCTCTTGATAATACTGAATTACATGAACTTTTTTTAAAACTGTAGTAAGTTTTACGGTTCTTTCTTATTTTTCTTGTCCATTTTAAAAGCTTTTTAATTGACATTTATTGGAAATATCACGTACAGTTAACATGCATTGGCATGTTTTAACGGTACCTAGTACAAAATAATGGTCTCCCTATTACATTCATAGAAAACAAGGCATAGAAACAATCCCCTTCTTTCACTTAGCCTCAGATCAGTCTAATAAAATCTTGTTAGCATCTCGCTTCTATACAACTTTTTCCATTCGACAAAAAGTAGCAACTTGTTTTGAGCTCCCTTAGCGGAACGAAATTACTTCAATCGGAACTAAATTAAAAACCATTGAAGGCCGACGGGATTTAATGCATTTCTGATTAGAGATGTAAATTGACTGAATCTGATCGGTCAAGATGGTCAAATACTATAAATGACCGGTCAAAAACGGTCAAATTCAGTCAATTTGACTCAATATTACTGTATTACTACCGAATAATTTAGGTATTTATTTAGGTACCCAATTTATGTGAAATTTTAAAAGAAGGAACGTTAATTTGTAATAAATTAAGAGAGAATAAGACGTAGACGTCATCAAAGTTGACGTGCGATGCGACTTTGCCATTCACCTATTAATGCATGTGAGCAGGGTGCGGGGCAATTGCGTAGAGAAAGAAAGAGAGCACAGTAAATCATTACAAAACACTTATTGTTTCAATTTAGAAGTTGTAGATTCACTGTAAAATGTTAAAAAATAATAAATCATTACAAACCACTTTTTTTATTTCAATTTAAACTTTTATCAATCACAAAATGTAAGAAAAAACTAAAAAAAGTTCTAAACTACTGAAATCAAATTCACCGAAATTGACCGTTTTTGACAGCTTATGACTTATTTTTGACCAATTTGACCGTAAATGACGGTCAGTCAAATTCAGCCGCTTTAGTCATTTTCAACACTATTTCTGATTCTATTTACAGGTAGTAAGGAACTGACCTGAATCTTGGACTTGGAGAAAATTGAATTAGAGCCGACGCTTGCGAGAGAGCTATTTGCATTTTGTAGAATATTACTTCTTGCGTACTTCTTCGGCGCTTTACGTCTGAAATAAATAAGGGAGGTTTAATCAACACGTACTTTTTAGGTACTGGGTTCGGGAGTTATGTTGGAATTTTTTGTAAGATAAAAGTCATAAATATTTATTTATGTATTAGTGTTACTAAGGTTATAAAAGTGATGATCAAGTTTCAAACCATACTGACGCCATCTTACAAATACTGCTTAAATAAGCTGTAGTCGGTTGATCTGTAGTGTTCGATTTAAAAAATGTGCATTTTCATGTTTTAACCCTTAACCAGCTTGGTTAAGGGTTAAAACATGAAAATGGTGGCTTAGAGCCCAAATCAATTTGAACTTTATGCTGTGAAGATACGGTTCACATTCAAATCCAAATTTTGGCTGCGGCTTCGCAAATTATCCTATTTTTGCCTTGGTCGCAAACTATCTCTATTTTCAAATTCGGTTCTGTGGTTAAAGGGTGAAAGCTATGACAGATAGATATGAGACACTTTCATACAATATTAGTATCCGCGTATCGTGCTAAAACCTGTTTTAATTAATTCAAATTTGATTATATTGGTGTGGATTTGAAATCGAAACGTATATGACCCCACAACCCTCATTCCATTCACTTAACAAAATAAAGAATTTGAATTTGAAAATTCTAAAGCGAGAAAGTTTTCCACATTCTAAAATAGTACAATCCTTTGTTCCCGACTTTTAAAATGCAACATTTAAACATGTTCAGAGGTATGTAAATAAGTATTAGATATGAATCGGAACGTGTTGCCGTCACGCGAGTTGTCCGCAACAGCCCGAAATAATTGTGCTTTTATTAATTTGCGCAGATGGGCTGATAAGATAATAATATGAAGCCTGCAATGAAGGAGCATTTTAGCCACACTCCATGTAAAACAGCCAGTTTACCGCCATCAGCTCACGCACACTGTTGGGCGTAACTTCGTTCGTTTCAGCCGAAAGACGTCCACTGCTGGACAAAGGCCAGATCGTCGGTCGGCGTAACTTACTGGCCCATTTATCATCCCGAAGCGTAGGGTTTATACTGGGACGTGTAAAAGTGCTTTTAAAAGCCTACTTACTTACAAAAATAAAATGAGTTTTGAGTTTACTGATGATTTTTCAAAATTCGTTAGGTACTGTTCCTACTGCTGCTACTGGTAATAAGTTGATTCTGCATAAATTTTCGCAACTTTAAACTATGATTATCAGCTATTAAGAAATATTGACAATACTATCAATTTTATCGCGGTAATAGTATAACTGCAGAAACCATTGTGAAAAATTCGGCAACTTATGACTACCTATTGCTTATTCAATGCAAAGGCCATCTTAATTCTTAATATGTTGAGTGGAACTGAATTCTTATGTTCACAAGTAGTCATTAAAATGAAATAAAAAAATGTACACTCACTTTAATATATTGGGATGGCTGATTCGTTTTTGAGTGTGAAGGGAGCACCACTTAATAATCTAATGGGTTCATAATTAAATTTAATCTACATGGTTCTAATTTTTCTACTGTTTTGAACAAAACCCTCATAACTTTTCTTGATTGTATTAAAAATTAGAAGACCTATAATTTCGTCAAGTATCTTTAAAGGAACTTTTTAACCCTTTACCTACGGGGCCCTTGGAAACCAAAGTCGCCTCTCAATACGGGGTATTTTAACCTATAAAATTGTTTGCTTCACTTTACATCAAGATATTTTACATAGTTTGAGACTTACGGTATTGAAATTTGGAATATTATATTTTGCAACTAATGTAGTTTCATAATTACAAGCGCATTTTACACGTAAGTTGCAATTTTATTGTTTTTTTGTCGTAAACCGTGATTTAGTATTGGCTTTGCCAAAATAACAATATTAGATGCCACCCGTATTGAGAAGTGACTTTTGACTTGGCAACTATAGGTGCCTCCCGAAGGTAAGAGGTTAAGCGCCATGTCAAGTTAGATAAAAAATATGTAGGTATTCTTTACTCCCATTTGTCATTCCCATTCATTTTCAGTACAAAGCAAAAATTATCGAGCGAGTAAGCACGTAGTGTCTTTTTACTGAAATAAATATTTTAGTACGCAACAAGGTCCTGGGACATTCTCACAAAATCAGTTTCAATTCAGTCGGAACTTTTGCGTGGTGCTCACATTGGGTGGAATATACGGATGGATTATGCGTCGAACATAAGATTAAGTTTTGTGTTATAGTTTTGTTAGAATTACGAATTTCTAGTTGTAATGAAGTGTTAGTAAAGTATAAAGTTACAGTTCCCCTTGCTACTGAGTTACAGTGATCTTTGAAAATAATTATCGACTAGTATTAATAGTACTAGATATCTAAATATTACCGAATACATATTTATCTGTTATTTATAGTCACATCCTTGTTTCCTAACTGAGTTTTAATGATTTTCTGTTTCGAATTCGAAAGGTTATTTTCCAATAAAATATGAGACAATCCACGCACATTGTCAGATAAACCAGTATTAGAGAATCTTGTCATTTAAAAACGTTATCATTAGTTAAATACCTACTTATAATAAGTTAATATCCTTGGAAATTTTTACACAGCGCCATAGGTAGTCCCAAAATAAGCAAAGCTTGTACAGGTTACATAGGAATCATGAACAATAACTTAGTCCAGATAAGTTACCTTCATGAACAAAATTTCAGTCACAAACATGCTCGCCAACGCGCTCGACCGAGCTTTCCCCCGTGAGTACACCAGCATTAACAAACTGTACGACATACGAAAATCTCAACTCATACGTATTCGACAGGATAATCTGGCTTTCGACTCGTTGCTCGAAACTTCTAGATCGAT